ATCCATCCATCCATCCATACGTCCACCTACCCATCTACCTATCCACCCATCCATCCATCCTTCCATCCATCCATCCATACGTCCACCTACCCATCCACCTATCCACCCATCCATCCATCCTTCCATCCATCCATCCATCCATCCATCCATCCATCCATCCATCTATCCTTCTGTCTGCTCTTACCTATTATGTGTGCCAGGCTCTGTGTTCATTACTGAGAGATGCAGATGTAAAAAAGGCCAGGGAGAAGGGACCAATCATATCTCCCTGGAAGACTTTCTACTATGATCACAGTATACTTAGCACATAGTCAGTGATGACAGCATCTCCCCCCCTTTGTGTAGGCCTGACCCAAGCTGAAGCCCGGAGGTGAGTGGAGGAGAGGCTGCACACAGACTGCAGACTGCTTGGTGCCAGGGCAAAGTGCTGGATTAATTGAGCCTGTTCTCGTTGGTCCCACAGGGCTTCATCGTTGCCATCCTGTACTGCTTCCTCAACCAAGAGGTGGGTGGCTCTCCAGCTCTTCCTTACTCAGCAAGCCCACCCTTCCCGGCCACTCCCGGGCTCCCTCACTCTTGACCAGGCCCTGTAGGCCCCAGTCCAACCAAACCTGACCCCTGTGGTCCATTGTGTACAGTCTGCCCGAGCTTCTGGATCACGCCAGACCTGAATGGTTCCTATAGACATACTTGATCCATCCCTGCTGCCCACTCTGGGATGAACTAAGTTCTACTACCCATTCACTGGGGATGGGGTGTGTGTGCTTTTATGGATCAGGGTAAATGGACCCTCTGATTCTGTTTCTAAAATGGAACAGAAGGAATGGGGAGAGAACTTGGGGAGACTTTTAAAGAGAACAGAAGCAAAGCGATGAAGAAAGTCAGAGATAGACACACAAACCCTCAACCCACTGCTGTCTATCAACTCTGAACTCACGGTGACCCTGCATAGGGTTTCTGAGACGGTAGACTCTTTAGGGGAGCAGACCGCCTCACCTTCTCCCTCAGAACAGCTGGTGGGTTTGAACTGCTGACCTTGTGGTTAGCAGTCGTATGCCTAACCCATAGCATCATTAACACTCCTCAGACATGCAGCCACGCCAAAAAGAATAGCTCTGTGTAGGCTTCAGGGATCTTCAAGATCCAATGGAGCTCCGGGAAGTTCATGGAAAAATGGGATGGAAGATAATGACACTTTCCCAAGAACGTTTTGAAGACCCCTTGCACAGGGCCCTGGGACAAAAGGTCTATGCAGAATCAGAGAGGATGATGTTGGAGAAAGATTAAAAAAAAAAACCAAACCAATCTCACCGCCATCGAGTCAGGTCTGACTCAAGACGACCCTCTAAGGGCAGAGCAAGACTGCCTCTGTGGATTTCTGAGACTGCAACTTTGTACGGGAGTAGAAAGCCTCGTCTTTCTCCCATAGAGAAGCTCGTAGTTTCAAACTTCTGGCCTTATGGTTATCGGCCCAGTGCACACCCACGATACCACTAGGACTCCGTGGAGAGAGATCTCGAACCAGGGAATTGACAGTGAGCCCCTAGGAGAGACACAAAGAAACTGGCCCAGAGAGCAGGGACCGCCCAAGGACAGATGGCTCGATGGTGTTCAGGTGGAACTATGAATGGTGGCAGGGACCCATGAGGAGTGATTTGAAACCCCATCCGAAAGACAATGTGCCTTCTTCCTTCCGACAGACGTGTTCTGTAGGGAGCGCATCTTTGGCAGGAGAATTTAGCTCTGTGCCCACTCCCGGTGCCAGGCTCACGGGCTCCCTCTGGTGGCCGAGGGTTGGCGGCATGTTCTGTGTCCTGCAGTGGAGCTCTTACTGGACTGACTTGCCATCTCCACCCCTGCCCAGACCCCTGCTCTCTGACTCCCATCTGTCCCGCCCTCTCCCCCCTGTCCCATTGGAGTGTCACGGGAGGCCTGGCTGGGGCTGGGGCTTCCACAGAGATCTGTGAAGCGCTCAGTCAGAAAAGGCGTTCTGGTTACACACCTCTGCTGACAGGGAGCTTCCTACCTCTCAAGGTGGCCGTTTGTGGGGTTAGGTGGCCATGGAGACATCCCTTTTCACCTGTCACCACAGTCCCAGCCCAGCTTTCTGGGGCCACAGCCCAGGAGCCCACACTGCCCCCAGCCCTTGGGGGTGTGAGGAGGCATGTAGACCCCTACCCCCACCATACCCCCTGCCTGGGGTGGCTTCTCTTTCCCTTCCGGTCATCAGCTGTAAGTCCTCAGGCAGAGTGGAGTCCTCCTCCCTGGGGCCATGCTCCTGGACAAGTTTCCAGGGGCCCAAGTTCACGTGTGTGTGTGTGTGTGTGTGTGTGTGTGTGTGTGTGTGGTGGGTGTCAGGGCTCAAACCGAGAGCAGGGATGGTGTGTGTCTGACCAGACAGATAGGAGGAGCTGTCTGTCTGGACACACAAGAAGTTAGCTCACAGACATCTTTGCTGTGCCCAGGCAAAGGAGAAGCTAAGGTAGGAGAACCAGCCATGGGGACCACCGGCAGCCCTCGCAGGAATGAGGAAGAAGTGACCGTGGCGTCTCACCTGTTTCACCTCCGAGGGCCTCCTGCATCGCCCGCTCCCAGGGACCCACCTGAGAAGGGGTGGGGGGCCTTTCTGACATTCTCTCCTTTGTCCTTGGAGGTGCGGGCCGAGCTGTCGAGATGGTGGCATGGTGACGACCCCGAGCTTCTGCCAGCACGGAGGACCCACACCCGATGGGCCCTGCCCTCCCGCTCGGGGCTGAAGGTGCTGACGTCTGTGTGCTAGGCTTCTTACACGGCACTGCCCGCCCGCCCGAGCCCACACCAGAGCCTGGGCAGCTGCGATGGGCCCGCATTCCTCTTGGGCAGCGCCAACACACCTTCTGCCATCAAGTGGCTCCAGCCCCTAGAGACTCTGCAGGACAGGGTCAAACTGCCCCTGTGTGTTCCCCGAAGGCAACTCTTCATGGGCATAGACAGCCTCACCTTTCGCCTGAGGAGTGCCTGGTGGTTTCGAACTGCTGACTTTGTAGTTAGCTGCCTCACACGTAACCCACTATGCCATCACCAGGGCACCAAATGCCCAAGAGTCCTCAGCTCCCCCCAACCCCCTAAAAGCTGCTGCCCAGCCCTGTGTAGGAGCAGCTCTGAGCCACCATGCCGTGTCTCACAGCCTGGGGCCACAGCCCAGGGGTGTCACTATCAGACTGTGACTGCCAGAGGCTCTGCGTCCTCCACTGGGACCTCAGGTGCAGAGCCCTGTCCACCCAGAGCCTCGGTTCATCACACGTTTGCCGCATTTGTCCACAGTCTGACCATGAGTTTGTCTGACTCTGTTGGGATTATCTTTGAGCCCCGCTCTCCCTCCCCACCTGCCCAGGACAACCACTCCAATGTGTTCCCGGGGGAAGATGTGTGTTTGTGGGGGCTGTATTTCCCTTGTACATAAATGGTGTTGGGCCTCTGCCTTATCCTCTGGCTCCTGTGTCCCTGGGCTCTTTGCTTTCAGGAGATCCCCCATCGGGTTCCTCCCCCATCTGGGCAAGGTACCATGTGGTGGCATCACCCACGGGTTTCCCATCCTGTCTCACCCTCCTGCCACCACCCCTGCGGTGACCACCTTGTGCCTGGTCCCTGGTGGGCCCTCAGGGGCACCTCTCTGAACCCCACTCCCACTGCAGGCAGAAGCCCTGGGTGGGTCATCCGTCCGTCACTCTGGTTTCTGCTTTGAGAAGCAGTGACAGACAGCTTGTTCTCCAGAATGACAGCAGAGGCTACACTCCCACCAGTGGCTCAGGAGTCCTCCCCACCCTGCCGCCCCACCAGCGTCGGGCTTTCCCCAGCCTCTGGGTGTCTGCCAGGCAAATAGGTGCTATGTTAGTCTGAGTAGACTAGAGAAAAAAATCCAGGGAGACTCATATGTGTATATAAGAACTGTCTTTATATAGAAGAGCAATTGAATACTGAGACCACATCCCAGCCCAGTCCACATCAAGTCCATAAGTCTGATATTAGCCCATATGTGTGATACCAATCTATAAAGTCCTCTTCAGACTCACGAAACACATGCAATGATGCTGAATGCGGGAAGATCACAGGCCAGTGGGTGGGAAGTCTTGTGGATCCAGTGGCGGTGGAAGCATCTCAGCGCTGGCAGGAGTCTCCTTCAGTTCCAGGGCTCTAGAGTAGCTCCATGTGTCTTCTCAACAGGAATGTCTCACAGGGAGAGAGAGAGAGAGTGTGTGTGTGTGTGTGTGTGTGTGTGTGTGTGTGTGTGTGTCCTGCCTCCGCTGAGCTATTTATCTCTTTTGCACCTCCTAATGAGGTCATCAAGCTGCAACCTGATTGACAGGTAGACTCCACCCCTTCACTCTTCAGTCTAAATGGACACCAGATTATGGAACTACCCCAGGGGCAAACCGGTACCTCCTGCTTGTTCAAATGAGCACCCCTCCGTGGGTTCCGGGCAGGTGGAGCATCTGCACGGGTGAGTTAGCCTTTTCCACCGGCTTTTCTCAAGCTGCTAGGCTGGGCCCTTCATCCCCTTCTCCTAGGTCTTGTCCTTACGCCCGCTTCCTGTGCACCCTCCTGTGCCCTCACCTGCTGCCTGGCCCTGGGTCTCCATTCCACCCAAGTGAGGCTCCACCATGCTCCTCCCCCCAGCCCTCAATCTTGGCAGAGGAGACAACGGTCAGCCTTGGCTGCTGTCCTTGAGCAGGGATTGGCCAACGGGAAGGCGGGAGTCTTGCAAAGGGGTCACACATTCAGCTGCCAACCGACCCAGAGTGGGTTTGGGGGAAAGGCCTGGTGATCTACTTCTGAAGTCATGACAAGATGCGTGGGGTCCTGCACTGACAGCTACTCGAGGGGAACCGGTTCTTTCTTTGTCCACAGCCCTGCAGAACTCAGCTCTGTTCCCTGGGTTCCAGGAAGCCATCCCCCCTCATGACACTAGTTTTCTTTCCCCACACTCATGAGTTCCAGTCTCCGTCTCCAGCCCTTGTCCATCAGGCCTGATTAGCAGGTACGACTTCCTTGCTCAGACCCCGCCCTGGGGCCTCCCCTCCCCACGACTCCTTCTCTTCTCCACTGACCTTGGAAAGCTTCCCTTTCCTAGGCCCTGGGGACACCCCTCTCCCAGGTGGGTGCATCAGGCTGCCGGTGTGGGCCTGGGGGTGGGACTGCCGCGGAGTCTCCCTCTTGACATTCACACATGTCCCCCGAGAGCAGGCACAAGCAGGTGGCCGGCCAGGATGCCCAGACGAATGTCCTGGCCAGACAAGTGTCAAAGTGTGTGGAAATCTTACTATTCCTTTAGTCTCCGATCATAAAATTAATTCATATTCATTGCAGGGCATTGGGGAGACATTTACAAAGAAAACAACCAAAAACCCCAAACGCACTACCATCGGTCACGTGGATTCTGACTCTTGGCAACCTTGGGTGTGCAGAGTAGGACCACTTACTACTCCAGGGGGTCTCCGCTGGTCCTGAGCCCCAGAGGGCCTCTCCTGACCATGGGCTCTAGAGGGGGTCCAGACTGTTAGCCCCAGAGGGTCTCTGCTGGCTGTGAGCTTCCAGAAGCAGATTGCTGGGCCTCTCTTCTGAGGCACTTCTGAGCAGGTTTGAACCACCAACCTTTCAGCTAGTAGTGAAGTCCCACTTAGGGGACTAATTCACATTTAAGACAGGACATCGAGAAGGTTAGAAATAAAAATCAGCTGTAATCGCATTACCCACATCCATCCCCCCCCCCCCAATATCCAAACTCACTCACTGCCATCGAGTCAATTCTGACCCATAGTGACCCCGGAGGGCAGTGAGAACAGCCCATGCGGGTTTCCAAGACTAGCTCTTTACGGGAGTCAAAGGCAAGCCCTTTTTCCATGAATCGGCAGCTGGTGGTTTCCTACTGCTGACCTTGAGGTTAGCAGCCCAATCCATAAACACTGTGCCATTCGGCTTGCAAAGAAAGCGACATGAATTGTTTTGTATGTTGTTTCCCCAAATCCTTCCCCCCCCCCCTCTTAAGTTTTAAAGTATGCTGAGCTCACACTATCTTTATCAATTTGGTTTTTTGGGGACTCCATATACGTGAGGTCCAACTGGCCTGTCATCACATGAAAACGCTTGATGACGTGAGTCGTTAGGGAAACACAAAACCATAGTAAGATCCCCGCACAGAGCTCAGCCCTTCACTCACAGAGCCCCGGGGCTCCATCACATGCTCTCAATCCCCAACCAAACCCGCTGCCGCTAGTCCATGCGACTCCGAGCCCCCACGGGGCAGCGGAGAACTGCCTGTGTGGGTTTCTGAGAGGGTCACCCTTGACAGGAGTAGACCTTCTCGCCTTGCCCTGGGGAGGGGCTGGTGGCTTCAAACGGCTGAGCTTGTTTGAACAGGCTCCTAACAGCACTAGTACTTCGTGGTAAGGAGGAACGGAGTCCGAATCGTGCTCCGAGATGCATGGGGCTTGAAAACGTAACGCAGACGGAGGGTCCTCTAATGTATGATTTCACTGGTATCAGACGTCCAGAATTAGTAGGTAAATCTAGAGAGCATGAAAGTGGGTGACAGGGACTGTGAGTGGGGGCGGGAGAGGGGAAGTGGGGGATGACTGCTAATGGGTACGAGGTTTCTTTTGGGGGCGACAGGGTGTTCTAAAATTAGGCGGTGGTGATCGTGGCTGCACAATGCGAGGAGTCTTTCACTCTGAAAGGGCGAATGTGGTGGTAGGTGAATTACATTCATTTAAAGCTATTATTTAAATGGACGGTGGCTATAACGGACTTGCAACAACATTTTTTCCTGCTATGTAATTTGTATAGTCTAGATAATATTCTTCATTTAGCTAGTCATTTCCCCCCAAATCTTCTATGGGTGAATTGCTACATTTCTGCCAAGTCTTTAACAGATAGCTGTGATCTGAAATTTCCTTGTGAACAATACTTCATGCATATCTCGGAAAGAAAAACCAAACACACCCTTCAGGAGAGACTCCTAGGACTGAAATGGTTCAGCCAGTACACATAAGATGTTTGGACAGAATCGATTTCAACAGAATCATAGAGACTTGCATCAAACAAACATATCAAAACGTGAAGCGACGGTTTCTCGACTTATCTTCCATAGGCACATGCTTCTCAAGGGGGTGGTTCCCAATCTCTAACCCACCCCCGAGGAAGAATTCTGCCCTCTTCCATCCGCACCTGTTTAAACAGCAAGAGAGCCCTGGTGGTGTAGTCATTAGGCTGCTACCTGCTAGGTTGGCAGTTCAAAACCACCAGCCACTCCACAAAAGAAAGACAAGGCTTTCTACTTGTGTTAGTCCAGGTTGACTAGAGAAACAAATCCAGGGACACTCATGTATGTGTAAGAGAGACTGGTATATCAAAGAGCAATTGTACATTGAGAAAACATCCCAACCCAGTCCAGATCAAGTCCATAAGTGCAATATTAGCCCATATGTCCAAAACTAGTCCATAGATTCCTCTTCAGACTCACACAGCACATGCAATGATGCCGAATGCAGAAAGATCACAGGTTAGAGGGTGGAAAGTCTTATGGATCCAGTGGCAGTAGAAGTATCTCAGCGCTGGCATGATGCTCCTCTGGCTCTGAATGTGGTTCCTCAACAGGAAGGTAAAGCAGAGTGTGTGGCCCACCTGTAGGGAGAAAGAGAGGAAGTTCCCAGAATCCTCATGAGAAGGCCACGCCCATAAGGAAGCATCATCAGGCGGTGACCTGATTGACAGGCTAGACTCCACCCCTTCACTCTCCTCTCC